TTTTTTTTCCATTTATTTTTATTAGTTGGAGGCTAATTACTTTACAACATTGCAGTGGCTTTTGTCATACATTGAAATGAATTAGCCATGGATTTACATGTATTCCCCATCCCGGTCCCCCCTCCCACCTCCCTCTCCACCCGATCCCTCTGGGTCTTCCCGGGCACTTGTCTCATGCATCCAACCTGGGCTGGTGATCTGTTTCACCCTAGATAATATACATGTTTTGATGCTGTTCTCTTGATGCAAATGGCATTATTTCATTCTTTTTTATGACTGAGTAATGTTCCACTGTATATATATGTACCACATCTTCCTTATCCACTCACCTACTAGATTGCCATCTTTAACCAGGGTCACATGATGCTCCATGACTGTTTGGCTCTATAGCTCTGCCCTTCTGCCGACTCCTGACTTGTCCTCCTGATGACAGTTTGTGGCTCTTGTGCATCTGATGCTCAGGGCCACTTCTCTGGCTTTGAATTTCTGCTTTTCTCCTTGAACACAGTGCAGACTCTTCTTTGGCTAGCCTCTTCGCTCGCCCGGGAAACAGGCATCCTTGTTCTTGGTTGCCAGCAGAACACCACCTCCAAACACCAGCAGCCCAGCCTTAGACTCTTAAGGAGAACCCGAACATGTTTCCTTTTATGTTCCAGAGATGGGAGCTCAGTGCCGTAGAGGCATCCAGCTCTTCTATATATTCTTGGAAGAACCATAGCTTACCGAGCCATCTGTTTCTGTGGAATCTGCATTTCTGGAGTGCGGACTCTGTCAGAAAGGGGTCCTGTCCTGCTCATTCTGTGTGCCTAGGGACTGGAAAAGGAGCTGATAGACGGTAAGAGACTGATTGACATCCAGTTTCCTATACTTCCTGGCTATAACTTTTACTGCCTAAGGAGCAGAGCAGGAACAAACAGAAGTGCCCAGACAACAGGTCTTAACAAGTGTAAAGATAAGTTCCACATCCCTACTTAGCCTTTCTCCAGATGACCAGCCTTCACAGACGGTCATTCTTCTGACCATGCAGCTTCCAGCTCTTGTGCCACCTTGAACCGGTGGCTTCTTTGAAAATGTGCAATCCTCTCCTCCATGGTGTCCCACAGGATGAGCACAGCACCCAGGCGTTTTCTCATCACTAGTGTCGGGGCACCAGTGCTGTCCTGCTCTGGACTCTATACTTTTACAAGCAAGGTAAAGGGAATTTGCTTTTATGACAGTCACATAATGGTTTTTTGAAGAAATGAGTGAAAGAATATGATGCAAATTTGGGTTACATTGAATGCTTGCTCATTTGACACTCCTACTATGTCCTTTTCTCCATGAACTGTTTTCAACCAACTTATACATACATATTCACATCCCACCTACCTCAAGTTCCCCAAATCTCTAAGAATATTGATTCAGTCACCTCACATGTTTGTATCATTTTACAAATTGTTAAGTTGCATCTATGTCTTTATATGCTAGAACAAAACTGACGGATCTAAAACTTTTC